GTTTTGGAAAAGGTTGAAAAGGGAGTTTGGTTTCTGAGGCTCAGTGTGAGAGAAGCCTTTTAATAAATCCCGTCTCTCATCCATGTGAATAAATAGATAAGAAACAAACAAACAAAACGATTGTTTGATATTTGCTCTGACCCAGAGACGCGCTCACACATGACTGACGTGGTAATTTATGCCAGGAGATGTGAGGTGAGACTCTAGTCAATCGTTAAGTGTTCTGGAAACTTGGTGAGTGACGTGTTTTGAAGGGAGAGATATCTCACAACGTGCTCCAGGAGCTTTTCCTGTGTTTATGTATGCGCATTATATTGAATGTGTAGTTTGCTATTGTGAGTTTCTATACAGCACAGCTACACTCAATGAATTTTAGATAAGACTTAAAGAAATATAATTCTAAGGTGTGAAGGACAATTGTAAGTTGCAGTTGTATCTGCTATATTATGCACAAATGCCTCTGTATGAATTACTGAATGATCACAAATTCCTATTTTCACAAGAGATTGGCTCGTCCATCCATTATTTCTCCTGATTATCATTTTTAAGTAAATTTAGAAACAAAAATAATCTAACCCTGAAAAGAACCTGGATTCAAACTACTAACCACTGCCTATCGATCTGCTCCTAGTGTCACTGAAACACTGACAAATGACTGCACAATCTTCCTTAAAATTGGGACACCATGTCTCATGTGGTTAGCGATGTTGTTCCATCAACTGCCTGTCCTTTAAGCAAACTGAAAATACAAACATACCGACAAAACCAAGCAGCTCTTGGATGTGTTTTACAGTATGTGTTCTGTTTCTCTTATTTAGAGCAGTGGGCAGCGCTACTTTGAGTGGTAACATTTAAATCTCACAATAATGACTCATATCCCCCAAAGGGTAATGGTACATTTTGCAGTTTGAGGCCATCATTTTTGGAACAGTTTGCAAATCTTCCAGCCAAATCTGAGTGAGAAAATAAATCAGTTTTCAGATTGTAGGTGCACAAGGTTGCACATGATTAAATATCCTCGCTGTGCACTTTCAGCGTGGTTGTGTTTTAACAGTTAGTTGTGACCATTAGTGTGAAGCTAGTTCTGTTCCATATAAAGATGGACGACATGACAGCTCTTCTCGAGTGAAACCAAAGCATCTTGATCGCCCCCTGGTGGCTGGAGACAATATAGGTCATAAACCCTGCCTTCTCTATGTTAGCTGATGGGACATGGACTGCAGCAAAAAGTCCAACTACATGTTAAATACATCTTTTTAAATAAAGACAAGTAGAAAATGATGTTTCCTTGTTAGTTATGGACATTTTCATTCAGCCAGATGTTTACGTGCACAGCTAGACATCATCATCATCATCATCATCTTGATCTTGTTGGCGATTATTTCAATTAATCCTCATTAACGTCGATGGCTTTGAACTGACTCTGCAAAATAATGACAAACAAGGTACATAACAAATAAAAGTGTAACACAAACATATACAGTCGGTCAGGGACTAATAAATGCTTTGTTGTTTGTTAAATGGATCAGACCGTGTGAGTGTATAACACACTGTGAATTATCATATTAACAATCACAATCAAACTCTGTCTCCAGACTCAGAGAACATAAGTCACACAAACATATTCACATCACTATTCAGAGACACGTGGAAAGATATTTGAATTCTAACTTCAGCGATGTCACAAAGTCTGCAGCGAACTCGACATCATGCTGAACAAACCCCAAACCATGTTACAATAGCAGCCAACAAACTCCATTCAGTCCACGTCCACAGAGTTTGCACATAACTCTTTGTTGTGAGCAAAGAGAATGAGCTGAGTTTCCGTGGGAGAATATGTGAAGATGTTGAAACACTGCAGGTCAAATGAGCAGGTGAGTAAACTGATGTTTTAACCTCCTCTTGATATAAAACTGAATGACTGAGACATGCTGTGAGCTGCAATATTCAGACGCTACAATCTACTGATTCCACACATGCTTGTCTGTCTGTATGTGAAGAGCATATCTTTCGAACTGTTTATCTCATCATCTACACATTTGACATGCATATTCTTCGAGGTCCAGGCAAGTGCAGTGCAAATTTTTGTGCAATTTTGATAAGTTCATATTAACAGAAGATGAATTAAGAGGAGGGACAGGGTGCCTTCAGTAAACAAAGCCAAATCTGTAATCAGAAATAAAGCAAATTCAGTTTCATTTTATTAAAAATATTGACTATAAAGTCTTTATTGTAGATAAACCAGTTAGGATGAACGCAAAGTTTTCTAACTTCACTCTGCATCGTTATTAATAAAAAGCTCTGCACAAAATGTCCAGCTCGTAAACAATGACAAAGTGAAAGCATATGGGAGATATTACCACAGACCAAGCAAACCGTCAAAATGCTGCAACGATTGAGTCCGACTGCGACTGAAAACCAGTGAAGTCAAGAAGTTTCAAGCCCTCAGCACTAAGACGGCAGAAGTTAATGCTGCTGAACAAAAAAACACATTTTTCAGGTCTTTTTCTTCTGGACCAGTGACAAATGATGCTTCTGTGGATCAGAATAAATAATGGGACCAGCTGAAGTATCTATGGGCTCTTTTATGTGGAAGGACCGATCATAAAATATCTCTGAATTGTTTGGCAGGTATTGATTAAATAAACTAATACTTGTATTGGGGCTGACAGAGTTTGGTCCGTTGCAGAACACATTGTTTTCCTCACAGCTAATGTTCTGCTTATCTATGGTGTTTTTTAAAACATAATGAAATTGTAACGAGAGGTTAAAAAAATGAATTTTAAGTGACTGTTTCTTCTGTTTCATGCTTCTGCTGATATGTGTATTTCCCATTCTGGTGCTTCTGGGCCTTCATGTCACCACAAACACCCACATTGAGTAGCACAACTCGTCTCGACCTGCCAGTGGGAGAAATAATGATATACCTATTAAATATTACCCAGAAAACTATTTGAGATGGAAATGTAATAGCTCCGGCACTAAATCACCTGGATAAGATTAATTTGTGCATGTGGGTGCTCGTGCCCATGCACTTATTATGTGTTTCTTTGCAGTGGAGTCTTGAGGCGGTGGCATTATATCTGAGAGCTGTGAATCATTAATGACAGTGCAGTAAGGTTAAGGAGGCTGTCTATCAAAGCATGCAGGATAGTTAAGATGCTGTGATGTGGGTGGACACAGAGCTTTGTGTTTGTGTGTGTGTGTGAGTGTGTGTGTGTGTGTGTGCATTATGATTCAACATTTAAATGGATAATTCACCTTGATGTTGTGGAGGCAGTTAACCGTGATTCTCACCAGTGCTAACAATAATGTTTTACTGTTCTAATGCTATTTTGCGTGCACCTTCCCCAGGGAGGCCGGGGTGTAGTGGTGCAGAGTCGACTTCAGGTCAGCGCCACCACAGCTAATAAGCATGCACATTCTGGCAGAGGACATTTTCATGAGGGTGGATCATTTCCATATTGGGGGCTTGAACTTGGCTCCTTCAGCTGAGGAATCTTGTTTGTCATTAAGCTCCCACCGTGTCCTATATGTTTGCGAATGGAGAAAATAAAATGTAATTGCTTGTTGTCGGGTTCTCCTAACTTTTAGACTTTCAATTAACACGGAGGCTTCCTGTGACTTCATTTATTTTAAATGAGGATTTAAGGATGTTTGTTTAACCTTGGGCACGGCAGTCATGCCTGACAGTGAGTGAGTCACATCCATGGAACTGAACTCCACTTAAACTACTGAAGAAAACTAATCTGAGTGAAACATTCATAAATTAATCTTATGAAACTAATATCATTAGTCAGCAGTTGTTAATCATTAATGTGTCATCTATTTCCCAGCTTCGCTTAAATAAAATCACTACTGTAAGACATGAGTATGTTAATGACTTTCTTTGCATTAACTGTTTATTTCTTCATGTATTAATTTAGTATGAATCTTGGTTAAAGGTCATTAACTAAAAGGCGCCTCAAGGCAAATTGAAATTTTCTCTCAGCTGATTTAATAAAGTCAGAAAAAAAGTCCAGTAGCAGCACACTGTGAGGTTCATAATCTGACTTCAAAATAAAAGCATGTTACTGTACACTTTATGTGGCAACATGGAAAATGCGTTGATTTATATAGTAAGAGAATTATTTAGTGAGATAATTAAAAGGCTTCTCGGCAAAGTCAATGAGTTTTTCAAGTTGTGTTTTTTCATTTGATTCTTTTCACATTATGTTTGTGGAAAGTTAATGGAAAATAGAACCTGTATGATTATATATTTTGATCTTTTCTAAGGTGTGAGAAATTCCTGAACATAAGTCTAACCAACTGCAGCAAATAATTATGTCCTCAAGGCTAACTTAATACTCTTCAATTTGTTGAGTTCAGTTCACAATCTAAATTTAATTAAATTAAGTTAAATTAAGTTTAATTGGACTTACTAATAATTTTGTCCGTAAAATGTTGCCCATGACAGATGATCACAACCCTGACTTTTCAGAATGTTAATATTATAACATATTTTCATCTCATACAGGCTTTTATATTAATAAGGAGGATTATTATTGCTGTTGTTATTATTACTATTATTATTTTACTAATATTGTTAATAACTGTAATAAATTTAACCTCATTATAAAGTGTCAATGCAACATAAGGGAATACACAGAAGCATTTAAAAATAAATGAAAAAGAGTCACACGGAGAATTAAAACAAAAAATCTGATACAAAACATTGAAAGTAATAATGTTCTATAAGAAAGTTACAGTTATTTGATTAAATAAAGTACAGGCAAAATTAGGTTTATTTAATAGAATAAAAAAATAATTCAAAAATGACAAATAATAATAAACAGTAAGTTTACATGCAGTAAATACTAAATCACAGCAACAAGTTTAGATATGTTTTTAAAAAAACAACAACCAGCTATTACCAATACAAAAGTAAAAGATGAGTGTCAGGGGCAAACACTGTGCAGCAGTGAGGTGTTTTATTTTGGCAACCACGTCCGGAAGTGGAGTGCGTTGTTATGGTCACTTTGACTGATCTGTGCCGCTCGCTCGCGACACATCCGCGCGCTGCTGCTTTCATTTCCCAGAGCTCAGTGAGAGAGCGCAGCGCGCGCTTCAAGAAGAACGCGTACTTTCCCTCTGTGAATATGACTCAGCTGGAAGTGACCAGCGCAGGACACACGCTCTGTCTGTGAATGTGCTCCACAGTGAGGGACACTTCACCCGTGTCACCGGCGTGGGGTCGAGCCCGTGGATGCAGCTGCCGGGGGTCGGTGCGTGAGCCCCGCAGGACCAACCTGTCATAGGGGGGCGACCATGGTTCCTCCAGCTGTTCCCAAGTGGATGAGGAATATTTCTGCGGAGATGMTGCTGCTGCTGCTGCTGGTGCAGATTCTGTGGCTTTTCCCTGAGACCGGAGCGGCTCCTTCTCTGAGCTCAGAGCAGCTGGACACAGGGGTGGTAAGTTTCACACCTTCCCTTCATACATGCTCCACTCATGCACAAGTTTCCCTCCCTCCACCTGCAAGTGGATCCAGGAGTGCGCGCTGTCCTGCTCCCCTGTCTTACTTCTGCTACTCTTGAGCGTCCTGGAAGGAGCGAGTGCTGTCTTCTCCAAATACTTGATGTGCATGTTAACGCCGCTCTGCAGCTCCACCAGGCTGGAGGGGAAATGCACAATGCATCGACGGTAAAGATACAAGTGGAGCTGATTTCCTTTTTGAGGAATCTAACCCAGAACGCGGTCTGTCATAAATGAATGCATGTGGTAATAAGGGTGTCTGTGGTGGAGCTGCACATTCATTAAAACTGGCAACTCCACCATGCAATCAGTTTGAACTGCCACTGCTTATGACAAGTCCCCATTGATCATGTAGCACATCAGAGCTCCTCATGAGGAGTGGATCTCCTGAGTCTTTATGTTGTCTATGAGTTGTAAAGGAACATCTGTGACATTCAGTCCAGCCTGAAATCAAGGGATCAAGGGAATAATACCTTGTTCAGGTTGCACTCGAATATAAGAGCATCGTCTTCGTAAAACTTTTAATTCTTGGCTTCCAATATCTGTTTAGCATCTTCTCTGGGTAACGTATGTTTTCGTTGCTCTTCATCCCAACCTCTATTTTCCTTCCAGTGCTGCTCTTCTTAAAACCTGCACTCAGGGATTACAGTTTTTTTTTCCTTAACAAAGACGAGAACAAGAGCATTAAAATGGGTCAGTTTCTATGATTTTTCTTATTCTTTGCTTTACGGTTTTTAATTCCAGCTGGAATCGCTGGGGCTTTATTTTTCTTTAAATCCCAGACTCTTTGATTGTGAGCTGTAATGGGCCATATTTATAATCCAGCTAGGATTGCATGGGGACGAGACAAAACTCAAATTCAATGTCTGTAGGTTACCCAAATCAGTCCAAAAGTCAAACACAACAAACCCACTCAGGATAGATCATCCATATCTTCAGTTAGTGAGAAGTACCCAGACTTGGTGCAGAAGTGAATGCCAACAAGCCTGACATCAGGACACGGTCTGTTGCACCTCAGCTCTGAATCAATCTTTTCTGGTTTTCCAAAAGGTCATTGTCATCCGGCAGTGTTTTCCTCAGGACCTCTATAAAAAAAAAATTCCTGTGTAGCTTTGGCCACAAACAACCAAATGCCTTAAAACAGGCCATTCCATTAATAGAATAGACCTCCCACATTCAGACTTTTATTTCTTTGTCTTGTTTTATTTTCTGGTTGTGCTTTGAAAGTATGCTGCTGCCTCTGAGCACTGACCACACTGTGTATCCCAGCTTTGTCTGACCTTTCTGGATTCAATTAAAAAAACATGGGCAGAAATTGAAAAAACAATGGCAATACTTATTTTTTTTGTGGGTCTGTATGGCTCTGTCTCTTTTTCTGTTTCACTTAGTTGCATTGATCACTTTTGACGTGGAATAGAGACGATCTAGCAGAGTAGAGAGTCCAATCAGTGTAACTTCACCAGCTCCTAGCCTAACGTCGCCCAATAGAATAGTTTTGGGCAGAGGAGACAAGGAAGGTGAAGACAGATGTAAGAGTGGAGGAGAAGTGGAGGACTTTCCCCCTCTAGAACAACCTGAAGTGGGAATAATTGTAGCAGAGGACCGTGGTCGCCCTGAGTCGTATCTGTTCAAGCCGTTGGCTCCAGCTCCAGTGACCACCTAACCTGGAGCTCTGGAGGCCGATGAAATGTGTGGAAGAGTGGATGTGGGCAGTCTTTGAGTGGTAATGTAACATCAGTTGCAATGTTAATGTGAGAAAACACTCAAATAACTTTTAAAGCAATGCAATCGCCATGGATATTGTTGTAGCTATTAGATAACATGTTCAACAAACTAGAGGGAGACGCTGCTATTCCCACCGATAATGTCCCTCGCCAGGTATGAAGCAGCCACTGCAGTAGTTTGTCTCGCTTGGAGAACCTGTGTTGTTGGGAACAATAGCTATTGAATTAAGACCAGACCACTGTTTGTCTACTATCACCATTTCCCTGGCTGATAATCAGCCCATCCACATTTGATCTGAAATTGAATAACGTAATGACATTCCAACATGTTGACTCTATGTCCACATTGATCCTGCAAGGTCCAAGAGCCTTTGAAACACTGGGTTTGCTCAATGAGCTATGTTCAACCTATAAAAGGTCCAGCTTTTATAAATCTGGTAAAAAAATGTGATGTTAAAATTGTATCACAGTACAGTCATATCATTTAGTTCTCCACAATAAGCACAAACCTTTTACTCTCTGGATATTTGTGTGAACTCTGACACTACAAACACAGCTGCATCCCCAGATGAAAAGCTGAGGTGAGAGCAGCAATTTTCTTCCATTTATTGCGACAGAGAAAGTAATACACAAGGTTGAAGCTTTCCTGTGTCTTCAGATAGAGCTGTATATGACACACACAGTCCAAAGTGGTCCTGTAGCCTCTGTGCAGCCTGTAGTCTGAGGGCCATTACTCTTGTTTTGATGCCTTGCTTGAATTCATGTGGCGGTAAATGCAAAAGCAACAGTGCCAGGCCAGGGTTGGATACACACCTCAGAATGTCCACATTTGTTATCTAGACTGGCACTAAATTCTGTTTGACTGTTGGTGCAGGTCCCAACACAGAAACTTCACACTATCTGGCTACCACAAGACTTTTTTATGTGAAAATATCTATAAAATCTGTTAAAAGCCCCGTATGTGTAGAATTTAAGAAACTTTGTACTAATGCAAAGAAAAATATTGACTCTTCACTGAGCACTCGCACATACATGTTGCTTATATGCTTCCAATCACAGTTTTTCCCATTTCGTACACAACACGTCCAGCTTTCGTGCTAACATGCGATGCTACTGTCAATGCAAAGCTAAAGTGAACTCACAGGAAATAACTCCACAACCAAATGAACACACACCAGCTGCCTCTGCCTCCTCTATTCATCTTGACATTTGATTTCATGAGGGACATGTTTGCATCGACTTGATTGGTTTGGATATGTGCTTGAGTATTTGCTTGAACGCAATATGATTAGCAAAAGCAACAGCAAGTGAATGAGCAGCAATTCTGTTCTGAAATCTCCAAAAACTGTCTTTTTATTATGCTTTTTCAAATTTTCTAGGATGATGCAACATAGATCCATTAATGTATTGGTCATCGATGATGAGGTCGTCTACACAGAATGATTTTCTTGTTTCTCACTGTGATGACACACTTTGAAAGTTCTTTGATAGAGTAACGAGCTGTACTCCTTAAGTTCCCACTAAGAGGTAAATGTTTAAACTTCCTGTGCCAAGAAACCACAAAGACATGAAAGTGCCTTTCAAGTTTATCATTTTGTACCAGTCAACCAGCTTGACCACTTCTTATGAGCAGGCACTTGGAATGATCTTCACACTACTCCTGCAGGTCCAGGACAGGTCTTACATTCCCAAGATTTTTGGGGCTGCCAAAAAAATTGTCAGAGTACAGATTCTTTCTTCTTCTCCCAGGAGACAGTGCAGGAATAAGCTCTCTTTGTAGAAGCTCTTGAACCTCGAGGGAGTGGGTGTCTTCCTGTCTGCTCTTCAGAGGCCATATGTCACTGCATTTCTCTGGAGATTGAGAGGCAGATGGCAAAAGTTAAGTCCATATTCGTATGAATTCCACTAAAATTAGTGCCATGCTAAATGCTGAAGTATTTATGAAGTCGACCTCACTGCAGCATATGCGCCAATTCTGTGGGTGCTCTGGGGCTCGAGAAGCAAAAACATGTGCCAGCATACAGTCTGGGCTAAATTTATATTGATTTAATATCAAACGTCTTGGTTGGATAGAGGGTTTATGCATCTGTGATTTTTGGGGTTATATTGTTGTCAGTCACCTGCTCCAAACCTTAACAACCAATCAGAATGTCACTCCCTATGATCCAAATCAGGAACAACAGTGACGAGTCAAAACTAATCCAATTTGAATATTTATGAGTTAGCCTAAAAGGGTTTGTGATGGCTTTAGATTTTGCATAACATTTATTATGGGGAGGAATGTCTGGCATTGGACTGTTAACCCCACTGGCAGTAACGCAAATCAGTGTGTATGCACTGCAGTATCTTTAAGGAGGGGAAAAACCTGATACATGGTGAAATGTATTTCAGACATCCACCCTCCTCAATTACTTAAGAGACAAAAAGTTCCCCTCCTGCATTCATTGTAGAAAACACAGATTCCTATGTGTGATCACTGATAGCGAGGGCAGTTTATCTAGACAATATAATGTAACTGCAGCTCCGAGTTCATCATAAAAAGACAGAAAGAGTGTATGAGCGCAGGCAGCCCCGATGATGATTAGTTGGCCGGTGACTGATTTCATGTCACTGGGGAGCCAGAGGACACACAGAGAGCATCAGTCTGCGCCACTGTAAGAGCTGTGAAGCACAGATAGGATCAGTTGATTGTACACATCATTCTTCCTCCACAGTGGATAAATGTGTGTGTGTATATGTGTGTGAGTCTAATCATAATCGCTATTCACTCAGCATATAAAACATGAAAAAACTAAAGAAACACATAACCACAAAACAATCTTCTGATCTCTATCATTGCTCCCATCCAGACCCATTACACTTCATAGCCATGACGCTCCATCACTTGGCTTTTGGTTGCGATTGTGAACTTTATATACGGCGTGTGTCTTCAAAACAACCCCACAAAGTCCTTAAGTATCTGAACTACACACCCTAGCGCAGATCAAAAGCTCTCGTTTTGTAGCTTTGCTGCTCTCTGGCTTGATCTACCACTGCACAGCAGCAGTTGAGGGAACTGACTCTCAACAATTAAGATGTAAATACGCCCTGTGTTTTTTTCTTCTCATCATATCAGCTGTTTTTTCAGAGGAGTTACTCAGCCAAACAGTCAGGGCTTTCCTTTGGATAAGCAAGAATGAGCTCTGCAGATTAGCAGCTGATAAATTACCTACAAT